GCCTCCTGTGATATAATACAGTGATCAGGCCACAGGGTCCTGTAGATATGACGGGCGGTGCTGGCCTACTGTGATATACTACAGACTACCGGCCATAGGTTCCTGTAGATATGACGGGCGGTGCTGGCCTACTGTGATATAAGACAGTGATCAGGCCACAGGTTCCTGTAGATATGACGGGCGGGGCTGGCCTACTGTGATATAATACAGAGTACTGGCCACAGGTTCCTGTAGATATGACGGGCGGTCCTGGCCTACTGTGATATAATACAGAGTACAGGCCACAGGGTCCTGTAGATATGACGGGCGGTGCTGGCCTACTGTGATATAATACAGCGATCAGGCCACAGGTTACTGTAGATATGACGGGCGGTGCTGGCCTACTGTGATATAAGACAGTGATCAGGCCACAGGTTCCTGTAGATATGAAGGACGGTGCTGGCCTATTGTGATATAATACAGTGATCAGGCCACAGGTTCCTGTAGATATGACTGGCGGTGCTGGCCTACTGTGATATAATACAGCGATCAGGCCACAGGTTACTGTAGATATGACGGGCGGTGCTGGCCTACTGTGATATAATACAGAGATCAGGCCACAGGTTCCTGTAGATATGAAGGGCGGTGCGGGCCTACTGTGATATAATACAGTGATCAGGCCCCAGGTTCCTGTAGATATGAAGGGCGGTGCTGGCCTACTGTGATATAATACAGAGATCAGGCCACAGGTTCCTGTAGATATGAAGGACGGTGCTGGCCTATTGTGATATAATACAGTGATCAGGCCACAGGTTCCTGTAGATATGACGGGCGGTAATGGCCTTCTGTGATATAATACAGAGTACTGGCCACAGGTTCCTGTAGATATGACGGGCGGTCCTGGCCTACTGTGATATAATACAGTGATCAGGCCGCAGGTTCCTGTAGATATGACGGGCGGGGCTGGCCTACTGTGATATAATACAGAGTACTGGCCACAGGTTCCTGTAGCTATGACGGGCGGTGCTGGCCTACTGTGATATAATACAGAGTACAGGCCACAGGTTCCTGTAGATATGACGGGCGGTAATGGCCTTCTGTGATATAACACAGAGTACTGGCCACAGGTTCCTGTAGATATGACGGGCAGTGCTGGCCTACTGTGATATAATACAGAGAACTGGCCACAGGTTCCTGTAGATATGACGGGCGGTCCTGGCCTACTGTGATATAATACAGTGATCAGGCCGCAGGGTCCTGTAGATATGACGGGCGGTGCTGGCCTACTGTGATATAATCCAGTGATCAGGCCACAGGTTCCTGTAGATATGACTGGCGGTGCTGGCCTACTGTGATATAATACAGAGGACTGGCCACAGGTTCCTGTAGATATGACGGGCGGTCCTGGCCTACTGTGATATAATACAGTGATCAGGCCGCAGGTTCCTGTAGATATGACGGGCGGTAATGGCCTTCTGTGATATAATACAGTGATCAGGCCACAGGTTCCTGTAGATATGACTGGCGGTGCTGGCCTACTGTGATATAATACAGAGAACCGGCCACAGGTTCCTGTAGATATGACGGGCGGTGCTAGCCTTCTGTGATATAATACAGAGTACTGGCCACAGGTTCCTGTAGCTATGACGGGCGGTGCTGGCCTACTGTGATATAATACAGAGAACCGGCCACAGGGTCCTGTAGATATGACGGGCGGTGCTGGCCTACTGTGATATAATACAGAGTTCTGGCCACAGGTTCCTGTAGATATGACGGGCGGAGCTGGCCTACTGTGATATAATACAGTGATCAGGCCACAGGTTCCTGTAGATATGAAGGGCGGTGCTGGCCTATTGTGATATAATACAGTGATTAGGCCACAGGTTCCTGTAGATATGACGGGCGGTGCTGGCCTACTCTGATATAATACAGTGATCAGGCCACAGGGTCCTGTTCAGTTTATCTTGTTAGTCGTTGTTAGATGCACTCACTTATTAAAAAACAAACTGTTGTTATGTGTTCAATGAGGGAAATACTTGTAAGAAGATTCGATAACCCGACCAGGTCAAGATACTGTAAACTTCGTTCATGATGATGTAGAAGTGTTCGCAAGTCTCATCAATTTCTGATAAAAAAAAGTTTTACTTTTCGATGTTCAGTACTGTATTTGACGTTGTCAACATCAACCTGACCTGACATATCAACTGAAAATGTCATGTCTCGATTTATTGTTGACGTTTTCATTTTGTTGTGACGTCATATATATAACGCTTTTAACCCTGCTGACTCAACCTTAGAAACTCCTGTTACTACGCTTTATACATATTTGTATGAAGTGTAAAAAAATATTTTGAGGGAGAACGAATTTTCATCGCTCCTTCTGTCCAGTCATCATGGTGTTATTAAAGTGACGTCAAAATGAGGACAATGATAAAACGTTATGTAGAATATTAAATTGTCGTCATGTCAAACAGAAGTTTCAGATTTTTCTTTTATTTATTAATTTATTAATTTATTACTTTTTCGTAATAAAAACTACTCTTTCAAACATGTACATGTACCTGTAAAAAAAAGATCGGTAAGCTCCGCCCTCTGTGTTATGAAATGAGAATAAATATATCGGTAAAGACTCCATTCCATAAACCCTCATTGGAATTTCTCAAACTTACCTATATAATTATATTCCTTTATTTTATTTTCATCACATTGTCGTATAAAAATCGGAAGTGTTTTAATTGGTTACGTTTTGACGTCATGATTCCCGGAGATTTGTTACCGGTCGGAAATTGGATTATGCCTGAAATATTACATCCTTGATGTTTTTCATAAAAATATAACCGACTTAAAGTATCATACCATTATGTTGATAAATCAATATCCCAATACAGTGTTTACCATATGTGGGGTAATAAATTCGGAGCGTATGAAACAATCAACTTTATTAATTTTACAACAATTATGAAACAAGTTTTATTACATTTTTGCCAGTGAAATAATGGATTCTATCAACGTGATAAAACTGATATCTTTCACACTGTGACAAATATCAAAAGTGATATTTTCACACTGTGAAAATATCACTTTTTGGAATTGACCAATCATAATGGTATCTTCTATTCGCTGCATTTAAAGGCAACGATTTTTTTGTTCAAATGAAGCGACGGTAGAATAAATGGTTACTACGGTAAATGTTTAGTGCATACACTTAAGTATTTACATAAATATACAATTAATAACATTTTTATAAGCAATCATACCAGAAAAAAGCAGGAAACGTCGGAATTATGTTGAGTTTCCCATTCGAAATGGCGCATAGCCTTGTTGTCAAGCGTGACGTCATTATAATATGGCGCTAATTATTACGCTTCTGATTCCCGCCCTTTTTGAATGCATTACATTTTTCATGTTTTATGCTTTAAAAATGTAATAAACAGAACATTTAATGGTGTCTTCAGTAATACCAAATATATTTCACGAGTGTGGCTAATATTTTGATATTTTTCACGAGTGCGCATGAAGACACCATTTAATATCCTCTATATATCAACTTGATAACTTGTACAGTTGTATTAATTAATCACGTGTGTTGGTCCGGAGGTGTTAATGCGGGAGGACACCGGAGTAAACCACGTGGTCGGGCAGGTGATAAGGAGCGTATACAGGTTGCTTACAATAATTCCGCACATCTAAATACAGTTTGAATTAAAACGGTATATTTTTCAATGAGAACGTGTGGCAAAGCTAATTGCGTTTTTGTAAAACATATTTTTATCAGTCTATGATAACGAATAAAACTCTTCTTTTTTTAAAAAGAAAAGCTAAGTTTTTATTTCCTTTTTTATCAGTTATATCACAGTTCTGGTCGAATCAGATTACTTAAATAGTCATTACTGGTATATCCTGTATATTCAACTGTCGTTAGTCAATTTTCAAATTATGAAAAAGACACTCAGTAACATGTACATTAGCAACCTCGTGTCTCTCAGAGTCAATACTACCATACCGCCACTCATTGGGGAACACCTCTATGTCTATATATATATTGATATTAAGGATGCTATTTAAGCATTGGCTGCAAATCAGAAACCCCGGAGACATTAATTGCATCATCGGAACAAGAGCACGGAATAAGTGTCCAAAGCAGCCTTCCCATGACGACGCTAGCATTTCTCTAGCGGAAGTCAGGATCGCGTGAACGTTTTAAATCTTTGTAGCCCACTCCGTTGTCAGATTTAATTGACTATCGTGCTGTTTGAAAAAAATAGAAATCAACACCCTAGAAACATTAGGTCTGCTTCACGTGGAAATAAAACACTGAATTTTAACGTGTGGTCTGAATTTTATAAAGGTAAAAAATAAAAATAAAGTGTATAGATTGGAGAAAAGACACTGCGCAATACTTTCTCCTGTATCATGGAGGGGCTCTATGATCAACAGACCTTCTATACATGTACTTGTACTAGCCCTGCATGCTGGAAGTAGGGCAATTGCAACACTCGTATAATTTACAGTCAATTGTATTAACATATTGTGAAATTCAAACAATTAAAATGGTATGAACTTGGATAGTTGTGATAATTTTGGTGAAATTCAATGGATTATTATACTGGCATTACTTAGGAAGTTTAAATAAGATATTGTGAATTTCTAAACATGTACAATAGTATTAGTTGTCAATGGATAATTAACTTATGTAACTTTGAAAGTTGTAATAAAATATTGTAAAGTTCAAAGTATGGAGGGAGGACTGTTACACTATTTGATATAATGGATTATTAAACTAGTGTAACTTTTAAAGTTGTAACAAAATATTGTGTAATTCGTTTATGTCTAAAACTGTTATCCTGCTTGGGATTATAACTAAGTCGATTTGCTGGTGAAGTGTTTATCATTTTATATGTTTGCCGTCCAACACAAAAGTAGATATATACTGCTACCGGTGACATTCAAACAGCAAAATGTACCCCGTGGAATGTACGATAAAAAACAGTTTATACGACAGAGGTCGGACAGACAACGCACGCGTAGAACAAATCAGCGAGATGTGAATCTCAAACACACAGTTGGAATCAACTGGAAGTTCGCAGAAACCTATCATGGTTATGACGTAACATGCATAATTCAAACGCGTGGGCAGCACGATTTAATAAGCTATGATTCTCCAAACATCTATTTAAACGGTTGAAACCTCAGAAAATGTTCATATGATAACGACACAACCTGGATAGATAGATCGTGTTTGGACTACGCTAGCGTGTAATAGCTGGGTGAAATTGTAGAAGTTTGGACAATTAAGTGGACGTGTGGACAGTGAAATGTCTAACTCGACACCACATGGGCTTCAAATTGTTAAATGTATTGTGAGTTTCTTAATCTGTTGAAATTACGACAGAAAACGGAGATTATGCTTTTTTTCTTCTAAAATATCTCATGAATAGAAAGGACAAGTATTATAGCAGGCAGACAGGTGTTGTAAAACGTTAACTATTACCAGAGTTATTCATCGCGAGAAGCACACGTCGACCGGCCGTACGTGGAGTAGGGATTGTGTTTCATGTTTATTTAATTTTTAGCAAAGACCGGTCATATTGAAAAAATATATGCACGTATACTTGATGAGGTACACTTTCCGATGGTACTTAGTACGGCTATAAGACAGCGCGTGCCGAGCTCGTATCAGTCAATGAGTTAAATAGTCGCCCCAGTAAACAGCACACGCAGTAGCTTGATAATGAACTATACCACGGATTTTACCCGAAATGTGGACAATTTTACATCCAGTAGCCTCACCATGTCTAACAACACCTTGGAGCCAATCTATGAGGAGTGGGAGTATATATACCCCTGGAGTAACGACACCAGCCTACATTCGGACTGTGCGGTAAGATCAATTTATCATATTTCATTAAAATAACGATTTATGCTACTAACCAACCTAGTGACATACATACCACTCCATGTTTACCAGGGGCTGCGATATCGTTCTACAACAGGGAGAACATAGTAATGCGTGAATACACAAGGCAGTTTCAGGAGTATTTGGTGATATTTTTTAGTCTGAAGTGTCAGCGTTAAAACTGAGGAACATATATTTGTAAGTTGTATAACATTCTTGGTAGAGAAGATGTATACTTATAAATTGTTAGATTTTGAGTTTGTATGGTAAGTTCTACATTTTGTATTGCCAGCTTTCGACTTTGTATGGTAAGCTATAGATTTTGTACTGTAAGTTGTCGACTTTGTATGGTAAGCTGTATATTTTGTACTGTAAGTTGTTGACTTTGTATGGTAAGCTGTATATTTTGTATTGTCACTTGTCGACTTTGTATGGTCAGCTCTAGATTTTGTATTGTCAGTTGTCGACAATGTATGTTAAGCCGTAGATTTTGTATTGTCAGTTGTCGACATTGTATGTTAAGCTGTACATCTTGTATTGTCAGTTGTCGACTTTGTATGGTCAGCTGTAGATTTTGTATTGTCAGTTGTCGACATTGTATGATAAGGTGTAGATTTTGTATTGTCAGTTGTCGACTTTGTATGGTCAATTGTAGATTTTGTATTGTCAGGTGTCGACTTTGTATGGTCAGCTGTAGATTTTGTATTGTCAGTTGTCGACTTTGTATGGTCAGTTGTAGATTTTGTATTGTCAGTTGTCGACATTGTATGGTCAGTTGTAGATTTTGTATTGTCAGTTGTCGACTTTGTATGGTCAATTGTAGATTTTGTATTGTCAGGTGTCGACTTTGTATGGTCAGCTGTAGATTTTGTATTGTCAGCTGTCGACTTTGTATGGTCAGCTGTATATTTTGTATTGTCAGTTGTAAATTTTGTATTGTCAGGTGTCGACTTTGTATGGTCAGCTGTAGATTTTGTATTGTCAGCTGTCTGGCCAGCTGTACATCTTGTTGTGTCAGTTGTCGACTTCTCATGGTAAGCTTTGGGTTTTAAAAGGAAGATTTGTATTGTTGATATTAGGTAGGGTAGTTTTACACACTCCGTTATAGCACACAAATCTCTGGAGAATGTGCAGATACATATATTCCGTATAATTTATTTTCATTTTCTTTCTGAATTCTTTTCTTTACTATGCTATTCGTGTGATCATTGGATTTAAGGTACCCCGTACATGTGTCAAAATATGTAAATGTTTATTGGATGTTTTTCCCGACACGGCAATAGCTTTGACAATTATTTCTGGTAAAGGAAATTAGACATTGCGGAACATCTATAAAAAGAAACAAAGAAATGGAAATAAAAGTAAAACAACATAAAAGAGAATCCACAGTGTTATGGTTGTAAAAATACAATGAATCTACGATCAGCTAGTGAAAGCGGATTCGAACCCTTATCTCAGAGAAGATCTAGGAGAAAACTTCAACTTTTCTACAAAATACAATGTACACAATAATTTCACGCTAACCTATATTACTTCTCTACTGTCTCCTCTTGTCTCAGAAAATTTACAACACAACCTTCGTAATGCCGATAATTATTCTCTACCTAATTTCAGACTTTAACTTTCAAACTCATCCTTTTTCCCTTCTACAATCCGACTTTGGAACAAATTAGACCTAGACATAAGACAAAGAGTTTCACATACAGCGTTGAAGAATTTTCTTCTAAATCTTAAAAAAAATACATGTTCCAAAATAGTATCTGATTGGCGATAGAAAACTTAATATTTTACACGCCAGATTAAGAAACACAGCTAGTAACTTAAATAATGATCTATTCCATGGAAATTTAATACATTCCCCCCACCCTCCACTTTTCTACAGAAATTGTACGATCTTGGTATTAATATTATCTATGTTGGTATTTTATTAGTCGACAATAATTTTTATCTTAAATGTTGAATAGTCGTGTTTCTGGTCTTCCCCGATACAAACGGCAATAGTGAAACGAAAATACCAGAAGGAATGGAATTTACAAGACGACGGCACCAGAGGCACGGGAAATGATGAACATTAGAAAAGCAGAGTGTTATGAATAGTGGACAGTGTTACTAGTGCCGTCTGTGTCGGAGAAGATCACTACCACGATCTCACATTAAATATCTTTAAGCTATGACCCCCCCC